TTGTGGTTTTGATTCTCCATTAGTCTTGTTTCTCTATTTGCATTTGATTTATGATCATTGTTTGGAACAAATTTGATTCTTTAAATAAAATTGAGCAATAGTATCCTATGGTATTTGAGTGAGCTAGAAATCCAATCTAGAGAATGAATTTTTCATTAACAAAATCACTCTATTAAAATTTGGCCCATACACTCGTAGTAAAAAATTTCAACCGAGTGTGTCGAGCGGAGACATACTTTGACTAGTGTTGGCAACGTGGCATGAGCTTCATGCTATTGGAATATGGGTTGAATAGTCTAAAAATGGAGCATACAATACAATGGAAACATGTTTAAACAATCCTACACTACTGTTTCTTGTTGTAATAAAAGAAAATATAAAAATTTGGAAATTTCATAAGAAATTTTGGATCCATTTTCTAGCATTTCCAAAAAAAAAAAAAAGTTCTCCTTTTTATATTTCTCGTATTTTCAAGAAAGAAAAATAAAATGATGTTTAGTAGTTGTTTCTTTATTTTTATTGAAAAAAAAAAGTAACCATTTTTCGTTTTCTTCTTCCAAATTTTAAATTAAAAGTTTAATCATAAAAATTGATTTTATATTTAAATATGCATTAATTTTATAAGTCAAAACATGATAAACCAATTATTTTATTTATATTTTTGAAAAATTAAAAATGAGGACGGAGAACAAGAAACAAAAATGTGTTGGTTCCAAAATTTATACACAATTTTGAAAATATGTTTTAAAAATGAAAAATGAGAAATGCAACATTTAAGGTCCGTTTAATAACGTTCATGTTCTTGTTTCAGTTTCTTCATTTTTAATCAACAAAAATGAATTGCATGATCCCAATATTCATGAATTCAAGTATGATAAAACAATATTTTCATTTATGTTTTGGAATAAATTGGAAATAAGAACAAGAAATAAGAAAGTTGTTTTGGTTGTTTCCAAGATTTCAATACAATTTTGAGAACCTTACCAAAGAAAGAGAAACCAAAAAACATTGGTAGTTGTAAAATGTTAGATTTTTTAAGAAAATAGAAAACGAGAGATATGAAATAGAAACATTACCAAATGGACCCTTATATTTCTCAAAGGTAGAAATAAAAAATAAAAAATAGGACATATTACTAAATGACCCCTTAAATTTTAGAACGCGATTTCAGTTTTTATACTCAGTATGAAAATACTAGAAAATGAAACTTTTATAATTTATTTTATAATCTTGAAAATAAGAAATAAGGGGAGAAGAAACTAAAATTGTTCTTTTTCTAGAGTTGTGAATTATTTTTTTCCAACATTTTAGATAGAAAATATTATAAAATGCGTTTATCTAAAAAAATTAAAAACAAGAAAGAAGTCAAAAGACAAGCAGCCATTATTGTCTTGTTTATTGTTCCTATTTTTGTTTTTTCTATAACATTGACAAATTTTTATTTTTATCATGTCTTACATATAAATAGTATGTGAGACACGAGAAAGTGACTTGTCATAATTAAAAATTATTGTCAAGTGCAATTTTTGTAGGATAAGAAATAATAAATAAAACACTTTTTACTTTTTTTTATTTTAATTAAAAAATATTAAAATTACAAGTTTAGTTATTTATTTAGTTAAATAACTTTAAATTGTGTCTTGGCTAATGCTTAAAGCCTTGTGATTTGTAAATATTGAATATAAACTAAAACTATATATTTGTTTATTTATTTTATCTTTATTGCAACATATACTAACCATTGATTCTCCAGTTTTGATTTTGTTGATTGATTGAGTTGTATATATAGTCATACGACTGGTTGGTGAAATAATCAAACTCCAAAGGCCTTCTTCCATTGATTTTCTATTAGTGTTAGCTTCTTTATTTGTATTCATTTATTTTCTCATCATGAAGATATTCAATTGTCTAAATAAATTGAGTGATATAGTATTTGTTAATTTTTTCTTTTTCAACCCGTCATCATGTCTAGACAAGAACAAGATTTCGACCGAACATGTCGAGTAGAGGCATACTTAGCCTAGTGTTGGCCATGTGTCTTGAGCTTCAAGCTATTGGACTATGGATTACGACCAGTCCGAAAAAGAGATGTACATGTTGAGCCTCTATTTAATAGCAAAGAGGTTCAAGTGCAAGCGCACGCTATCCCAAGTAATTATATAAGGAAAGATTTTCGAGTTCTTTTCTACCTAGACTAGTTTTTTTAAAAATCAATTGTGACCCATTTGAATGTTGCAACCGTTTTATGGTGGCAAAAATAGCGAGGTTTAGTCTGAAAATATAGTTTAACTTCATGATAAAAAGATTCAGCCTATATTATTTATAAAAAGATGAAATTAATTTATAATATTTGAACAGGACACATGATACGATTCATGCACACATCTGTGAGGAAATCTCTCATTTCTCCTTTAATAAAGTACTATTCCAATGTTTTGTGAAGTAAGCTTGAGTTAATGGATATAAGAACTAATTAATTTAAGAGTTTATGTAATTAATTTTAGATCATTGGAGTTCATAAGGGTTCGAAATTCTAACTTTTTGTTGATAATATATGTCTTAATTAATTAAACTATGTTCAAATTCGCACATATGATTTAATTAAATTGAAAGAAAAACATGAAATATTTGAATATGATATAAATTTAAAGGCTATCGATAACAATGACAAAAGAAAAAAAAATTATATAGCACTTTTTAAAAAAAATGACCAAAAATATAAATGTAGTAAAAAGGACCAGCTGACTTTTTTCATAGAAAATCCAAAATTTTATTTGTTGCAAATTTATCCCAAACACAAAATAACTATAAAATCTTGGTCTACATGTCGACGAGGAACGAGTGTTGCTCGTTCGACTGGAATGAGAACTTGTTATTTGTCCATATCTGGAAGGATAAATAAGTTTCTTGAACTAGCTAGATCTAGACAAGGCATATCCTCGTTCATGTAGGATCGTAAGACAACATTACAGAGAGGTGAATAGATTGTTATCAAAATTTTAAATTTAAAAAAGAATTCAAGAATAACAAGCAATTGTAAAAATCAAATGTAATTGTAAAAGCATAAATTAAAAGAGAAAGGGACAACAAACGATATCATTAATTCTTATAGTGGTTCGGAAATTCCTACCCTACTTCTTAGAACTCTTTCTTGGGTGTATTACATCAACAATTCTCTTGCAGGTGAGAACCAAACCAATCAACCACTCTTTTTGCCGGCTCAAGAGTAAACCCACAACTAATCCTTTTGCAGGTTTAGGATTCAACTCCACCAATCTTTTTCACTGGTTCAAGACCAAACCACTATGATTCTTTTAAATGGTTGCGGATCAAACCACTCTCACAATCTCAAGGTTCATCCCCACCTTAATACAAAATTCAAATGATGTAAAATAAACAATACAAATAAAATATCTCGGTAGATTACATTTTGTGCCTAGAAAAACTATAGTCTAACGTATTTCCACAAAAAAAAAGACAACATTTTGTGTAACAAAATGAAAATTGATTTTTGGAGATTGAAAATTGAAGAGATAAAGATGATTTTTGTTTGAGGAATTGGCAATTTCGAGAATGAATTGATCATTACGTTTTGGGTAAAACAATAAATTTTTTTTAGAAAGAAACAATTTCATTGATGTATGAAATTACAAAAGTCCATGATGAGATTACATGAAGCACTCCCAATTGGTTAAAAGGGCAGTGTAGCTATAGTGGTGAAATAAACGAGAACATTTACCCCAAGTAACAACTAGGAAGACTATAGCCTCAAAAAATCTATCAAAAGAAGAGGACAAGTTGTTGAAAGTTTGCTGATTTCTCTCCTTCCATAGGATCCAAAAGAATGCTCTAATAAAATTCAGCTAAAGAAGCTTCTTTTCCTTTCTAAAATGGTGGCCTGCAATGGTAGATTCCAAGAGGAGGGGGATAATTTGATAGTGCAGTAAACCATCTAAAGGTGATTAGGATGTAGTTCCAAAATGCACCTGCAAATTGGCAGTGAACAAAAAGGTGTTGTTGTGCCTCTAGGATTGTTTTGCATATCACACACCAATGGGGAGAGAAAGCCATGTATGGCATTCTCCTTTGGAGTTTGTCGCAAGTGTTGATTGCTCGGTGGCTAAGCTCCCAGAGAAAAAATCTGACCTTTTTAGAGTATGAATCCTTTCAGATGCTATCATAAAGGGTTGTAGTAAAGATTGATGCTGGATGGTTGAGGTCTTTGATAGGTGAGCTTGTTGAAAAGATGCCATTAGTTTCAAGTTTCTATAACAGATTTTCAGGCTCCATAGTCAACTGTGTTGTAGAGAGTTTATGGAAGAGGGCAGCCCATTCCATAATTTCTGCATCCTTTAAGTTCCTTCTTAAGCACAAATTCCAGCCACCATCATTTCTCAGCCAAAAGTCGCGGATGAAAGCCTCTTTTTTCAAGGATAATGCATAGAGAAGAGGTGAATGATGTTCCAGAGGTTCATTGGTCAACCGAGGTACTGTCCAAAAGGGAGTATTGCTGCCATCACCTATTTTATATGTCGATCGATCAAAAACCAGCTTTATTGTTTTGAGAATTTCTTTTCATGGCCCTTTTCCGGATGGGTGGTTAGTTGTAATAGGTTTGAGGGACCATGATGCACGACCATACTTGGCTTCAATCACCCTATGCCAAAGAGCCGATCTCTCTTTAATATACCTCCATATCCACTTGGCAAGGAGGTTCTCGTTTTTCTGCTTAATATTGGCAAGACCCAATCTCCCCTCTAGGAGTGGTTGTTGTGTGATGTCCCATTCGACCAAGTGTAAACCTTTGGCTTCCTTGTTACCTTTCCAGAGGAAACTTCTAAAGAGGTTGTCCATTGTGTCTGCCACTTTTTTGGGCATAGTGAAAAGTGAAAGGTAGTATGTAGGGAGGTTTGTCAAAGTTCCTTGGATAAGAGTGTGCCGACCTCCTTTTGATATGAAAGAATTTTTCCATGAGTGCAACCTTTTCTTCACTTTCTCAATCATAGGGTCCCAGAAAGAGAGAGTTCTAGGCTTGCCATGAAGGGGAAGACCGAGGTAGGATGTAGGCCAGGATCCTTTTTTACAGAATACATTGCTGCTATGGTAAAGTGCTTGATGTCGGTTAGGTTGATTCCCAAAATTTCAGATTTCTGTTTGTTGACATTAAGCCTTGATGCTTCTTCAAATGATCGAATAACACTTAATAGGTTTTTGAGGGAGAAATCGTCATATGTGGAGAAAAGGATAGTGTCATCAACAAATTGTAGGTGTTGGATGTTCAATGAGTTCTCCCCAAGATCAAAGCCCCTAATGTGATTGTTCCTAGCTGATAGAGACATGAGGCGGCTAAAGACATCAACCACTATAATAAAGAGAAAAGGTGATAAAGGTTCCCCTTGTCGGAGGCCTCTAGAAGCGATGATTTTCCCTCTAGGCCGGCCATTTATAATGATGAAGAAGTTTGCTGATGATACACAACCCCGGATCTATTTTCTCCAAGTGTCACCAAATCCTTTAGCTTTGAGTAAATCATCTAGAAAATCCCAGTCAACCTTATCGAAAGCCTTCTCTATATCCAGCTTAATAACCGCTCCCTTCTTTTGTTGTCTATCCCATTCCTCAATAAGCTCGTTGGCGATTAGAGATGCATCAAGAATCTGTCCTCCGGCCACAAAAGCTGATTGTTCATCGGATATGGTGTGTGGCAGCAAGTGTTTCATTCATTAAGAGAGAACTCTTGCGAGAATCTTGTATAAGCAAGAGATGAGGCTAATATGGCGGTAATCCCCTACTTGTCTAGCATCCATCTTCTTTGGGATGAAGCAAACGTAGGTTTCATTGAGGCTTGCATTGATGTAGGTGATGGCTATGATTCGAGGACGAATCCTTCTCAAGAGAGGGAGGATGATGTGAACCAAAGAAGCACCATTGTCATGCCTCAAGGACCCATAACGAGATCAAGAGCCAAGAAGCTACAACAAGTTTTACTTTCTCATGTTCAATACTTGGTGAGCTTGGCTAGGGATGATCAAGAGAAAGATGGAACTTTTCAAGTCAATATCTTCCAAGTAGAACTTAAGGGAGGCGTTGCATTAAATGAACTCTAAGTTCATTTAAAGGAGCTGAAGTTGAAGTGGAGTTTAACTCAAGTTGCATTCAATAAAGCCAAGTTCAATTAAATGAACTTAAGTTGCATTAAATGAACTTAAGTGCATCTCAAGCTTCATTTATTGCAAGTCATCCATCAATTAATGGAACTACACTTCAAATTACTTCAAGTGAAGCTTCATTTACAATTGAGAGGTTTACAAAGACGTTGAAGGGTGGCCAAGACTTCAATTCTCGGATTTAAACCTCTTTTTATTATATTTTCAGTTTTAAACATTTCATTTATGTTTTTTAAGTTACATTTTAGCTAGTGGATGTTATGACCATCATGTAATTGAGAGTTACAACCTTTCAAATGCCTTTAGGTTACTTTTAGGGCTGTTTTGGAGGCTATAAATAGCCTAGTTTGTTTTCTTTGAAATACAGATTTTATGATTGAATGAAAGTTGCTATTTTGCTTCAAAAGCCTAGAGCTTGTTCTTCTTTGCAATTATTAAGTGTTAGACTTGCATGCTAGAGTCATTCAAGTAGCCTTGATCAAGCTATCTTGTAGAGTGATTCGAATCTTGAGTTTAGAAACAAGTTTTCTCTAATCTTGATCTTGATCATCAAGGTAAATTTGTTATAACTTCTTCCTTGGGTTGAAATCATCTTGATTTGGGGGTTTTAGCATTTGTGATTTAGGGGTTTGCATAACCATATGGGTTCTTAGATCCAATTGGCTATTGTTTTCTTATCATTTTAGGATGCAACATTGTCCATTTATACTGAATTTGAGGTTCTTTGAACAGTATTATCATTGAAAATGAATAAGGATTGAATTAAAGTTAGAGATAGATTCTCGTCCGAGTTTGTAGAAGGAGTGAAACAATTCATAAAATTAGCAAAACTTCACGTCAACGATACGGGAAAAATAAGATGTCCATGTAGATATTGTATGAATGCAAAGTGACATTCAATTGATGGAAGAGAAAGATATTTGTTCATAAATGGAATATTACATGCATATACTTAATGGATATACCATGGAGAAGAAGGCCAACCCCTTTAGTTATACAAGATGCGAAACTCCTTCGAATAATGAATTAACTAGAGAATCCAATGTTACGAATAATGAGGATGGTGAGATGTTTGGTATTCTCAATGATTTATAGTGCCCTGTTGTAGAAGAAAATATAGAAGGTGAACAATTTTGTTTTGAGATGCCCCCAAATGAACATGAAAGAGACACGTCTTACAATTTCGAGCAGCTGTTCAATGAAGCACGTAGTCAATTGTACCCAGGTTGTACACAATTTTCATCATTGTATTTTTTTTAATAAAGCTGATGCATATCAAGGTCATTAACAATTGGAGTAATAAATCGTTCGATATGGTACTCGAGTTGTTGAAGGAAGCATTTTCGACAGGTGCATCTATGCCTAGTACATCTTACGAGTCTAAAAGGAGGCTGCATGATTTAGCACTTATGAATCCATACATGCCTGCAAGTATGACTGCATATTATTCACGAAAGAATATTCTGAATGTCAAAGTTGTCAAGTATGTGGTGAGTCTTGTTATAAAAAAAATTAATGAGAAAGCTTCACAAATTCCCCACAAAGTTTTACGACATTTTCCGTTGATACCAAGATTGAAACTATTTTTTCTTCAAAACGTTTTGCTTCTGAAATGATGTGGCATAAAGAAAAACGAGTTGAGACAAAGGGTGTGTTACGACATCCAACTGACGCTTTGGGGTGGAAGCATCTGTTGGGTGTGTTGCCCTAAACTCGTAGTTTGTATTATGTAAAAACAAATGTATATTCAATAAAGTTTTATTCAATAAATTTGTTGTTGAAACATAGCATTGCATTGTCCAAATCCAATAAACTAAACATCCAAGGTTATTTTAATGTAATCGGGACAGTATATATACTGGGTATATATTTGATATACCCCTAATATATGAATGGATAATATCCCGTGAATAACCTAAAGGGTCTATAGTATATGGATAAGGCTGAGTACCTTATCCTGGCAACACTATGGATACGGCCCACTCTGTAAAGGTTACAGACGACTCGATCCAGGTCGTTCGTGTGGAGACATGCGAGTGGAGGTATCCTATACAATGAGTTTGTATAAGATCGGACCGCGAAATAGGCAATCTTTAGATGTAACACCGTTAACGAATAGATTGCTATTTCTTAAGATGACCAGACAACTCATTCTCAATCCTGAGTGAGTTATGGACTCCTGCCCGTGAGGGCTCGTCCTTTGATCTGTATGGGTGAGAGTGGCCCAAGTCGCCGACTCAACATTCCTACCATTTTGGGGACGAGACCGAGTGGGGAGCTGGGAACATAACTTCACAAGATGGAATTCACTCCTCCCCAACTTTAAGGAAGTAGGTGAGTGTTCCCTTAAATGCTGACTTTGGGACTTGAACAAGGGGCCCCACCTTCTCATTGGCCGAGAGGGACTTTCGATTATTGGTTGGACCATAACCGGGTTGTTCATTAGAGGAGCATTGGTGTTTAAGGAGTATGATGTAACTCAGGGGTAAAACGGTAATTTGACCCAACTTGAGTTACGAACACTCGTGAAGGATTGACTCGTCATTAATGGTCGTATATCCATGGACACGAAAACATTCTGCAGTGAGAAGAGTGCAACTGCGGGTCTTTAGTGGAATGACCCGTAGTTAACGAATCTAGATTAACTCGGTCCATGAGTTTGACCGATTAATCTTGCATCGTTGGAGCTTCGGATCTGTAGGTCCATTAGGTCCCCTTGCTAGCTCATAACGGGTAAAACGAGGATCAAATTTTTGGAAGAATTTGAATTGTTCAAATTAATTAAGGGATTATATGTATATTGATACATTATAATATATATAGTTAATTGTAAATTAAAACTATATATTATGAGAGATATTATTTGAATGAGATTCAAATAAAAGTAATATGAATGAGATTCATATTAAAACTATAGGTTAAAAATAATGTGCATAAGATGTACATTAAAACTATAGGTTAAAAATAATGTGCATAAGATGTACATTAAAACTATAGGTTATACGAGAGAAATGTTTTAGAATATGATTCTAATTTTATAATAAATAATTAAGTGTTAATTATTTATGTATATATATATTTATTAATTATTAATTGGATTAATAATTAATTATATTAATTAATTTGATTAATTAATTATATATATATTAATTATTATATATATATATTATTATTATTATATTTTAATTATTATTATATATTATATATATATATATATTAATATTATTATTATTATTATTATTATTATTAACTCCCCTGCAAAATTGCAGGGGTGGGAGGTTTTGTGACGTGGGGAGTTACCTCACGTCACCCTTCTTCTTCTTCAAGAGTTGGGGAATGGGAAGAACTGTTGGTTACAGAACAGAACCAAGAAAAAAAAACCCACCAATTCTCTCAAAATTCTCTCAATCTCTCCCTCTCTTCTATCAAGGTGCTACCACAAGCACGATCCCGAGACCCAAGAGGATAGCGAGGATGATTCGGTGGTGGTGTTCGAGGGGAACTTACTGAAGAAACGTTCTTCAAAGGTTTGTTTTTTCCCCTGTATTTTTCTTCTTTAAAATTCGATTTTGTATCTCGAAAATCAGCAACAAAAATCTGTTTCCGCTCCGAGATTCACATCCCTTCAGCATCTAGATAACACATTTTCTCAACTTGCTTCAAACCCACGAAATATTCGTTTGGGACTAGCTTAAGATGAGTTTAATTCATTTGGGAATATGAACTATTCGTACAACATGTGTTCAATGGTACTTATTCCATACAATTTGCCTCCTTAAAAAGGAATCATTTCAGTCCCTCTTTGCAAAATTTTAACATAAATTTTACACATAACAAAAACTCGTTAATATAAAGTCATGTTTACATTATAAGAAATATATTGATGGTAGGGTCGTATTGAAATTGTGATAGAAAAAAAAAAGATTAAGAATAAAATTAAGGGACCAAAATGATTACTTTTTAAAAACATTTTGAAAGTATAGGGACTAAGAGGAACCAAACTTCAAAGTACAAGGGCAAAAGTAAATATTTTAAAAATAGAGGGACCAAATTGAATCGAAGCTAAAAGTATAGGGACCAAACTAGTATTTTAACAGAGAAATTTGGGCGTGAGTTATTGGTTTCTTTTCTTCCATGTTCGTTTCCTTTTCTTCCACCGCTCATTCATTTTCTTCCACTGGCGATTCATTTTCTTCTATTAGCGTGGACTATCTAATTGTCACATATGCAGATATTTCTAGCGCTTTCGTTTTTAATATAAACCTTTTGGTCACTGACAAATTTGACCCCCGAAGACATTCCCCGACATGGGCTTCCAATCAACGATTAATGTTGGAATTTAAGCCCTACACTCGTGTCTTATATATTTACTGATATCTAATTACCGGAAACATCTGTCGCCACCGACCACAATACTGTCGATGCGGTGCTGCAATTTTCTGGCCAAAACGGAGTAGATTTGTTGTTGTTTGATTACATAATGATATGATATTGTAATTTTTTTGTTATTTTATTTATTATTTTTCATTCTTTGATTTTGTTTCCTTTTTGGG